CAGAACTTTCAGTCAGCAAAAACTGGGGAAGTTCTGGGTAAAGCAGGATAAGCTGATCACCCACCCTATGTGCATTAGGCCCTTCTTTCATGCTATGAAGAAGTTTAATGGCCCACAGTTCTGCAGGCTGTACTAGCACGGCACCAACATTGCTCAGCTTCTAGGGAGGCCTCAGGCACTTGTATTCATGGCAGAAGGCAAAGTGGGGGCAGGCACATCACATGGTGAGAGATGGAGCCAGGGAGAGTGGGGTGGGGGCGGTGCCACACGCTTTTAAATGACCAGATCTGCTGAGAACTCACTATCATGAGGACAGCACCTACCACCTACCACCAGGCCCCACCTCCAACATTGGGGATTACATTTTAACATAAAATTTGGGCGGGGACAAATATACAAACTATATCACCATGTTTCAAGAATTGCGGCTCAACAGACAAGGGTCTTAAAGGCCATGTTAGGGGATTGAGGCTGCATTTGTAGGCAATGGGAAGCTCTTGAAAGTTCTTGAGGTGGGGAGAGTCTATTCAGAAATGTGTTTTAGGCAATCAGTCTACAAAACTGAGGTTTTCTCTCTCATCCTTGCTAAGTAAGTCTCTTCTGCATTGTTCCTTCCACAGTCCTTTATTTGTATCTGCTCTCTCTGTTTATTACAGTGTATCTGTGTTAAAAATGTATGTGTGTGTCTTCATAATCTTGTAATATAATCTCCTCAATGTCAAGATTGGGTCTTCACCATCTTATCTCCATTTGTCTTACATAAGCTCAATATGTACTGAACTAAATTGAAAACCGTGATTCTATACAATACAATATTAATTGATGTTTACAATTAATCTCAGTTCAAAATTGAACATTAGGTGTCAGTGTGTCTAGTAATTATCCTTCCAGTGACATGGAAAGTCAATCTTTAAAATGTTGATTGGGAAGTCTACACACAAATAATCCTCTATAAATGTATGGAGATATTCTTCTCTTTTCCTAACATTTTTAATTGAAGAAACTCTTCTTACCCACTCAAATGACCAGTAAATGCTTTGTAGTATGATGTGCTGGTCCTTATCTAGGCCTGAGATACAGGTACAGTCAAGGTTTTATCTTACAGTGGGGAACCTCGGCTGTACCTGTATCTCAGGTAAAGCAGAGCAATTTGTAGAGTTTCCATGCAGGTTCCAGTTGGCATAAGGTCATTTTTGAATGCTTATGGGGAGATTTTGTTTTAGACACTGATACGGTTCGTATCTGCATCCCTATCAAATCTCAGGATGGAATTATAATCCCCAGTGTTGGAGATGGGGCCTGGTGGGAGGTGATTGGATCATGGATGTGTTTTTCATGAATGGTTTAGCACTCTCCACTTGGTGCTGTTCTCATAACAGTGACTGAGTTCTCGCGAGGTTTGGTTGTTAAAAAGTGTGTTGCGTCTCCCCACTGGCTCTCCCTCTTGATCCTGCTGCAGCCATGTGATGTGCCTGATTCTCCTTTACCTTCTGCCATGATTGTAAGCTTCCTGAGGCTGAGCAGATGCCAGCATCATGCTTCCTATCCAGCCTGCAGAACCATGAGCCAATTAAACGTCTTTTCATTATAGATTACCCAGTCTCAGGTATTCCTTTATAGCAATGTGAGACTAGGCACTGTCAGGTCAATGAATCAAGTAAAAAGCATTTAGACACAGATGCTAACTTATAATGGTTTGACTTACAATATTTTGACTTTACAATGGTGTAAAGTTAGCAACATTATGTGTAGACTACACTTTGTGTACCCATACAACCATTTTCACTTCATTGCAGTAGTTAATAAATCATTTGAGATATTCAATATTTTATTATAAATTAGACTTTGTCTTAGATGACTTTGCCCAACTGTAGGCTACTGTAAGGGTTCTAAACTTGTTTAAGGTAAGCTATATTATGCTATGATGTTCAGTAGGTTAGGTGTATTTAATGCATTTTTTATTTACAGGATTTGTAATTTTTGATGGGTTTATCAGGATATAACCCCATCGTAAGTCAAAGAGCGTGTGTATTTATTTCTGTATGTATAGGATTGTGGAGGAAGCCAAGATATGTTAGTCTGTGAGATAATATAGCATGATGTTTTGTTTTGTTTTGTTTTAATTTAAAACAGGGTCTAGCTTTGTTGCTAAGGCTGGAATGCAGTGGTGCAATTATGGATTTCTGCATCCTCAAACTCCTGAGTTCAAGTAATCCTCCTGCCTCAGCCTCCAAAATAGCTGGAACTATAAGAGTAGGCCACCACACCTGCCTTTTTATTTTTTTTTCCATATTGCCCAGGCTGGTCTTGAACTCCTGGCCTCAAGCAATTTTCCTGTCTCAATCTCCCAAAGTGCTGGGATTACAGGTGTGAGTCACCACACTGGGCCTAGCATGGTGGTTTTAAAGGAAGGATTCCAAGGCCAAAAAGACTAGAGTTCAAATTCCAGCTTTGCATTTGACTTTCTTACCTTTGATAAAATATTAGCCTCTCTTAGCCTCAGTTTCTTTATGTGCAAAATGGAGGTAAGATAGTACCTTCCTTATAGGATTGTTATAAGAATAAAATGAGATAATGTATGTAAACTCTTAACACTATGAATACATTTTATGCAAGAACTATGTTCCTAAAGCCCTCAGATACTCTAAGAGTGACCCAGGCAAAGGATGAAACATAATTCATTTACTGGCTAAATACCTCTTGTAGACAGTTCACTAATTCACTCGCTCATTTATTCACACAGTTTATAGACATTTGACTGACCAAACTTTGAAATAATATGATTCTTGACAAATTTTGGATTCCTGGCTGGGTTTGCTTGGGTTCCTGGGAGGCAGATAAGCATTCAAAAGCCTCATTAAAGAGATTAGCATTCAAGAGCCTCATTAAAGGCTGGGCATGGAGGCTCACTCCTGTAATCTTGGCACTTTGGGAGGCAGAGGCAGGTAGATCATTTGTGGTCAGGAGTTTAAGACCAGCCTGGCCAACATGGTGAAAACCCGTCTATACTAAAAATACAAAAAATTAGCTGGGCATGATGATGTGCACCTGTAATCCCCTCTACTCAGGAGGCTGAGGCAGGAGAATCATTTGAATCTGGAGGCAGAAGTTGCAGTGAGCAGAGGTTGCACCACGACACTCCAGCCTGGGTGACAGAGTGAGATTTCCCTCTCAAAAAAAAAACAACAACAACAACAACAACAACAAAAAGACATATTAAGGAGTGGTGCTGGGACATTTACAGGAGGAGGAAGGGATACAGTTAAAACAAAGGCTCCAGTTAACCCTGAAGGATGATCTAAAGCTGAGATATCTCTCTTAAGATGTCCAGTGTTAAGGCAAAGGCACTGGGTTTTCATACCCATTTTGACCAGTTCTTGAAGGGAAGGAGGTATGATCTTGAGCAGGGCAGCTCTTTTCAGCTGAGACAAAATCTGGAGAGACACTGACCTGAGATTAGTGAGACAATTTTATACCCAGCAAGTGGGTGAACAAGGCCTGAAGGAGGGCATCTCAGCAGAATGATGCCCTGTCCACTGCAAGCCAGGTTGTTGTGATTTTGGATGTATATAAAGTGAAACTTTATATTTTATTGTAACATAACTTCAAACTGATAGACTTTGCCACCTCCCTGGGTATGTGCCCTCTTACTATTATCATGTGGCCCTAGATAATTAATTTCTCATTTATTTAATGGTGCCTCTCTCATAGTGTTTTGGTGAGAATTACAAGTTATGTAATGTATAGGGGGTGCTTTACAAAGTTCCTGGCATGCAGCAAGTGTCTGGTATGTATTAGCTGTTTTTATTAAGAGAAGGTCAACGAATACAGAAGGACTCAGTAGTAAATGAAGGAAAGGAAACTATGTTAGGATTTTAAAATTTACAGACTGATTTAAAGCACTGGCAAAGTTTACATTATGGTATTTGACTAGTGGGTGTCTCAGTCTAGTTTTATGTCAACATTAAATGAAGGTTTGGGTTTTGGCACCTGGTGGGAAGACTCGGTGAGACTGTGAACATTCTTCTCTCCCTCTTATTACAAGAGAATTTAAGAATCTTAGAACTACACTCTGTCTACTTGGGGAATAAAAATGTAAGCAATTGTGGCAAGAAAAGGACAGAGACTAAGATATAATAAAGGATTCAAATCTGACATACAGGATTTTTTTTTTTTTTGAGATGGAGTTTTGCTCTTGTTACCCAGGCTGGAGTGCAATGGCGTGATCTCGGCTCACTGCAACCTCCGCCTCCTGGGTTCAGGCAATTCTCCTGCCTCAGCCTCCCGAGCAGCTGGGACTACAGGCACGCGCCACCATGCCCAGCTAATTTTTTGTATCTTTAGTAGAGACGGGGTTTCACCATGTTGACCAGGATGGTCTCAATCTCTTGACCTCGTGATCCACCCGCCTCGGCCTCCCAAAGTGCTGGGATTACAGGCTTGAGCCACCGCGCCCGGCCCATACAGGATATTTATCCTCCGATTAGGTTCTCATTCATACACATGTAAAAATATTCATTATTTCACTCAAATTCTTATGAGTTCTCATAGACAGATACTATATTTCTTTAAATAATTTTTATTTTTGAGACAGAGTCTCACTCTGTCACCCAGGCTGGAGGGCAGTGGTTCAATCTTGGCTCGCTGCTACCTCTGCCTCCCAGGTTCAAGTGATTCTCCTCCCTCAGCCTCCTGAGTAGCTGGGATTACAGGCACACACCACCATCCTTGGATAATATTTGTATCTTTAGTAGAGATGGGGTTTCATGTTGGCCAGGCTGGTCTTGTACTCCTGACCTCAAGTGATCTGCCCACCTCAGCTTTCCAAAGTGCTGGGAGTATAGGCATTAGCCACCTTGCCTGGCTTCTCTAACTGCTTTTTAATGTACTAAACATAGTATCAGCACAATGAATAAAGTGATACTACTCCTTTTGGCTGTCTTAGGTGAAAGGTGATTTTAACACACACACACACACACACACACACACACACACACACACATACACTTTTTTTTTTTGAGACACAGTCTGGCTCACTCACCCAGGCTGGAGTGCAATGGTGCGATATTGGCTCACTGCAACCTTTGCCTCCCTGGTTCAAGTGATTCTCCTGCCTCAGCCTCCTGAGTAGCTGGGATTACAGGCGCATGACACCATGCCCAGCTAATTTTGTATTTGTAGTAGAGACGGGGTTTCACCATGTTGCCAGGCTGGTCTTGAACTCCTGACCTCTGGTGATCTGCCCACCTTGGCTTCTCAACGTGCTGGGATTCCAGGCCTGAGCCACTGTGCCCAGCCGCCACACACACATTATATATACCTGTTTGTAAAGATAGATTCAAAACAAAGGCTTCCTTACCAGTGTCCTGCTCCTATACCTTCCTCATCCCCAATAGGATTGAAATATTTATTTTCAGATCCAGAACTATGTCCTATTTTGATTTTGTTTGGTTTTTATTAATACCTCCACAAGTACTTAGCACAGTGTCTGGAATGCAGTGAGTGCTCAATAAATATGTGCTGAATAAATGACTGGATGAAGTTCAGAGCTGGAAAGAATGGTGGAGATTATACTGTCCTCATTTTAGAACAGCATTCAAAGAGATTGAAGTGTATGTGGGAAGTTGCAGAGCTCTGAGTCAGAGTAAAGATCCAGGTCTCAGAAGTCTAGCGCCAGGGCCCTTCCCAGCACAGGAGCACAGCCACCTGCTCTGCTTTAAGGACCTGGGCAGATGTGCTCACAGCACTGCATGGCAGTCATTCCTTCCCAGCAAGTTCATGCTCATAAAGATACTTGTTTCTCCAAGGCTGGAAGTAAAGCAGAGCACTTAGAACCCATAAAATAATGTTACTGTGGCCTACTCACCTCCACATTTTTTTCCTTTCATGTCTTTGTGAAACTTTCTTTTATTTGTAGGATGTATAGCATTTCTTCAGTAATCATTCCTTATGGTTCCACGATTACTCTAACTATTAATTCCACGAATATGAAGTAGGTGTACATCATGCCCTAGACAGAGAAATGAGGATAAGAGCAAGTCTGAGGGCTGGAAATCTCTAAAAACCCATTTTATTTAAAAAATATTATTCATTATTTGAAAGACAACTTTTGTTTTAAGCCTCTATGATCTCGTGACTGTAACATGATAGTGGCAGGATGATAATAGCATGGTAATAGCATGCTGGGGAAACTTCTTTCTAGTCTTTTCTCTTAGGTATATTTTTCCATAGTTATAGTAAAAATGACCAACATCTGCAAATTCTCCTTTTCCTCTCAACATTGTATGATAAGCATTTCTTTCTTTCTTTTTTTTTTTTCCTTGAGATGAAGTGTCACTCACTCTGTTGCCCAGGCTGGTGTGCAGTGGTGTGATCTTGGCTCACTGCAGTCTCCACCTCCTGGGTTCAAGTGATTCTCCTGCCTTAGCATCCAGAGTAGGTGGGATTACAGGCGTGAGCTACCACGCCCGGCTAATTTTTGTATTTTTAGTAGAGATGGGGTTTCATCATCTTGGCTGGGCTGGTCTCAAACTCCTGACCTCAAGTGATCGGCGCACCTCGGCTTCCCAAAGTGCTGGGATTATAGGCATGAGCCACCACACATGGCCTATATGATAAACATTTCTGTATTTCAACATAGCTTTCATAACTACAATGTTTGTTCATTGTACAACATTCCATTGAACGCATATACCACAACTGAGAACCAGAATGCCATTTCCGCTCATTTGATATTTTAAAGCAAGAAGGAATGAGCAGTTGGGGTCTAGCTTTCTCCACATTTGGATTGTTTCCTTAGGCTAGATTCCCAAAGTAGAACTACTGAGTCAAAGAAATGGACTTTCTTGTGGGTCTTTAAGCGCATATTGCCAAATTCCTGGGTCAAGGGAGATAATTCTGAATGTAATTATTTTAAGCAAGGAAGTAGCATTGGGGATGCTACTGTGATCACTACTGCCAGGACTAGCTGAGCCTAGTATGTGAACAGAAAGTGTTGTTCTGAGACGGCGCCCACCCTTTTGCCTCATTAGAGACTCATTAGAACTCTGCTGTATTGGGAAGTTATATCTTAGAGATGTGCATTAGAAACACCATTTAAACTGTAGTGTTGCTACTTCTTAGTCCTGTCTTTGATCTGTGACAGTTTTCTAATAAACTGGAGAAGGAAAATTTTTTGGTTAAACACATTTTTATGTCATCTTTTTCTAATGAGGTCAAACAGGTTCTGAAGCCGAGGCTTAAAGAGATAGAGTATTACAGCATTGAACATTTCTGCAATATTAAATCTTATTGTCAGAAACCACTATGGCTTAGAAAGAGGCCACTAATCAAATAGTGTCCTTGGGGGCCTGGGTTTACCACTCACTACACATTGAAGAGGGACTGAGGGTTTCTTTGCTGTACTCATGTGGTCATGCTGGGATGGAACCCTCAGGAACACATCCAGATAAGTTAAGCAAACACATGTTGATGCTTCTTTCAGTAGAAAGGGACCCCCATCTGTTCTTCACCACACAACCCAATTATTGGGTAAATAGACACTTTCTTTCCTGCATGTTTACTCTTCAAAGCAATGTCCCCAAGAGTGGCTGCAAATGGATGAAGAATTAAAAACACCACCTAGCATTTCTGTTTTCATACACATTAACTTCAGAAGATCCTGGATAGTTAAGTACTATCCCCCGCTCCCCATTTTACAGATAAAACAATGAAGGCTAAGAAGCATCAAGTGATTTCTCTTCAGTCACCAGGTCAGCAATGGGCTGTATCAGAACTAAAATTCTCATATTGGATCTCAAAACCTGTATGCTTATTAACTCCATTGCCATAAAGATGAATCACAGAAATATATAAGGTGACTGTTAAAAATCTTAGCGCCATTTCAAAGAGTCTCTGAACATGAAAATTACAATGGATGGAAGATGCAAAGAAATGACAAAAACTATGTCAGAACTGTCACAGACTCCAAGGCATCAGAGAAAATTGGAGGAACAGAATAAACAAGTTCCCAAAAACAGGTGCAATTCCCACTTCAGCCAGGGAAGACACCGTCCCTAGAAAAACTTGGAATCATGCCCTAAAATACCCATACCTTTTCGATTCCCACTGGTAACAAACAGCCTCATCCCATACCCAATTTCTTTTCTTTTTTTTTCTTTTTGAGACAGAGTCTCACTCCGTCGCCCAGGCTGTAGTTCAGTGGTGTGATCTCGGCTCACCGCAACCTCCACCTCCCAGGTTCAAGTGATTATCCTGCCTCAGCCTCCTGAATAGCTGGGATTACAGGCATGTGCCACCATACCTGGCTAGTTTTTGCATTTTTAGTAGAGACAGGGTTTTATCACCTTGGTGAGGCTGGTCTTGAACTTCTGACCTTGTGATCTGCCCACGTTGGCCTCTTAAAGTGCTGGGATACCCCACACCTAATTTCTAATAATTCAGAAGACTGAGATTATACACTTGACCTCACAATCAAGATTTCATAAATGCATACATTTTGTCCTGTCTTTAAATCAACATTGTGACCTTTGGAATATTCTTAAGATTTTAAGAGACTTCTATAGATTATCTAAGCCAGCCTTCTGACAAATCTGAATCATTATCCACATGAGGGAACTGAGGCCTGAAGAGGTTGTGACTAGCTCAGGGTCCTACATTCAGGAAAGGTAGAAGAGGAAGGGAAAGGAGCCTCTTGCAGGGAAGGGGCTTTTTCCACTATGACTGAGAGAGAACCAACATTTCCTTTAGTCAATGGACCTTTTAGCCAATATAATAGAAATTCCATTTTGTTTGAAAGGATGCAACTATTACCTCTTCAACACTTCTCAGAGGAAGAGAAAAGAATTATCTGGCTGATGAGATGGTAAAAACTCTAATCTATATTTCTCTACTAGAAGATATCGATGAGTTTAACATTGCTTTGCTCCCATTGCTTTGCTTCCATGCCTCTGTTCTCTCCACATACCTAAACTTCTGGTTGTGCTGAGCAGACACAGTTCTTTCTACACTCAGATTTAAGGGAAAGCATTCAGATTTCCCTTTTGGCCATTTGTCCATGTCATTCTTTCCAATCAGGCTTGGTCAGATATAAAGCTATTGCATTGATCCTGTTTACTTTCTATGCCTAATTTTCAGTTGGTTTAAGATCCAGACAGTGTGCTGGGTGTTGGGGGGTGGTGGCAGATGAGTAACTGAATTAATCTGCTTCCTTAGAAACCTCCACAATTTCCAAGACTTCTTTTAAAGTTTGACTGAACTTAATACTTACATACATGTATTAGAAGCTCCCTTAACAAACTCAGACTTAGCAACTTTCCAGATCAATTACTACTCCCTATTACTGCTTTTCCTATTCACAGCACTATTGACATTTTGAACCAGATAACCCTTTGTTGTGGGGGCTGTCCTGTGTAATGTGGGTTGTTTAGCAGCATCGCTGGTGTCTGCCTACAATATGCCAGCAACACTTGCCTAGTTGTGACAAGCACACTCGTTTCCAGATTTCGTCAAATGTCCTCCTGAGGGCAAAATTGCTCCTAGTTGAGAACCGTGGCTCTCATCCGTCAGCAACACAGAATGCCTGATAACCATGGCCTGCTGAACCCACCAAGATGCCCATGTCTCCTTGATCCCAGTTGAGCTATGGGTTTATCAAGTGCCAGTTGTATCCCAAAGCTGTTTATGTCAGTTGCACTTTTAATTATGTAGTTCATATAAATGTCATCTAGTCCAATGAAATGTGAGAGCAAAAAAAGAAAGTATTTGTTTCTTTTTGAAATCAAATAATTGGTAGGGATTCTGTATGGCAGAGACAAATTATTTCTTCACCTTATCTTTTATTTTCTTCTGTATATACAATGAAACTATTCCCAGCCTCTTCTGCAGTTAGGGGGAATCTATGTGACTGAATTCTGGGAAATAGAAAGTGGGCAAAAAGAAGAACACCATTTTGAGGTTTAGCACTTAAAATTCTCCTTGTTCTCTCTTGCTGCTTCTGTAAGAGTCCAGATGGCCTAAGGCAGGGATTGACAGACTTTCTTTAAAGAGCCAGAGAGTAAACATTTTCAGCTTCCCATATTATTGTTTAAAAAACAGTGTTTGAAAAATATAAAAAATTCTTAGCTTGTGGATTGTATAAAATGGCATGGGCTTGATTTGTCTCACGGGCAGTGGTTTGCCAGCCCCTGCTGGCATGATAGGTGTAATGGTGCAACAGCATTGCCCATAAAGATGCTTAAAAACAAACAAACAAACAAACCCTGACACACTAGGCATAAGTAAAACAAAGATAAAATTTTATGGGGGACTATAAAAGTCTAGACTGATTCTATGCACAGATCATTTCAAAAATTCTTTAAATTCTCATTTGACTTTAAAGATATTAAAAGAAGAAAGCATAGACTGTGAAATCACAGAGACTATATATGGAAGAAAAATAGTGCAAGATTCTAGTTAGCAGATTCAGTTCAAGATAACATCTTGGTCTTACACCAAAATTCTAGTGGACTTGATTATTTATGTTTTGAATTCAAATTTAAAGTCCAAACTGTATTTTTTAAATAACTATTCTTGATTTTAATATTTTTTCTCCTCTTTTTTTGTTCTTTTTAAATTTTTTCATAGATTTAGGGGCCAAGAATCTAGTTTTCTTACATGGATGTACTGAGTAGTGGCGAAGTCTGGGCTTTTAGTGTACCCACCACCTGAATAGTGAATATTGTACCAAATAGAAAATTTTTCAACCATCGTCCCCCATCCTGCCCTTGCACCTTTTGGAGTCTCCAATGTCTATTTTTCACTCTGTTTTAACACACTTTTTACTAAAGTAAAGGGGCTCTATGTCAACTCTCTTTTGTGCGAAAACAGATTGAAATGGTACAGCAGAAGGGCCTTAAGGAAATGGGAGAGTCCCACAACACTGATTTCTCTGTCCTGGGTCTTGGCTGGTACCTCAACTTTCCTAGATATTTATAATACAACTGTGGCAACATTCTAGACGCGGCAATGTAA